ACACAAGGTAAGACGCTTTTTAGTGGGCTGTACTAAACCCACTGCTTATACTACCAAGGAAAACTGCTTTAAGTAGTTTTGAAATTCCAAACATAACACAAACGATCTGTCTTCAGCACAGAGTTTCAGATATTCTTGTCTGCTCATCCACAGCAAGACTATGAAATAATACAAAAGCATCAGACACTATACTAGATCAGTAAGAACTGGCAGAAAGTGTACTGCTGTTGAATGTGTTTACACTCTCTGTTCTATGGGACAGTTTTCGTTAATTAGAACTAAACTTCAACATAGACACTTCTTTGTGTTTATCTCCCTATACATGTTTCAAGAGTTGCTGTTTGCCACTATTATCACAAGCTATTGTTTTTGACAAATAATACAGAAACAGTAAAACTGGTCATTTATTAATGGCTGACACCAAAATGAAAGGTTATGACAATAACTGACTACACAAGTTAACCATTGGTGCTGGAATTGTTTTTTTCTGCATGGCAGAGGCTATTTCAAGCCCCACTACCATGGATACATAAAATGCACAAGCAATACAACTTCAATGCACGTATATTAGATTAGCATAAAATTATTGATGTCTATTAAAATGATCAATTCTGCTACTCCAAGACACGAATGAGAGACATGTGCAATCTCATACATGAAAATCAAACAATGTGCAGGTAAAGCTTATGAAAACAGTAACCAAGACAAGAAGTGCAATTTATCAAAAGCTGGTGCACATATTTCAACTTTTTAATTTAATCATTCCATGGTTATTTTTTGTTGAAGTGGAGGTTATGTTCACTTACCAGAAAACAGGGAAGACATTTTTTTCATCTTGCAAAAGGAAGCCACCAAGAAGCTACAACTTGTGCAAATCATCAGGTTATCAAACAATGCTTTCTATGGGGCCAGTTATACAATGCTCACAATATGACAATATGCATTTGTGTGACAAGTTTTTGTATTTCATGTTGAGCTAAATCAAAAATGTAGTTGAAAAGTAGGAAAAAAATATGGATTTTTATTTAAAAATAAGGGAAGAGTAGGGAGCTTCAGAAAATTAGTAAATATGGTGTGTTGGAAGTCTGTAACACATTAATAATACTTACAAGGGTTTGCAGTACTACCAGTGGTCCACCCAAGGTCAGCAACAACCTGAATAGTGGGCCAGCAAACATTTTCCCACCAATTCCACATAGGCTTGTTTCTGATCTACTTTCTTCTCTGATCAACTAACATTCAGCTGAAGCCTTTATCCAGACACTGCAACAGTATGCTTGGAATGTCAGACATTATCAGCTCTTCCTGTATGTGATTAGGTGAGACTCATAGGTTTACTACCAAATTAACTTGAAGTGGAATTCCAAAGTGTATCTCCATCTTCAACACAGACAGTTAGTAGAGTATCTAATGTAAGTCAGTAACTTGTTGACTGAGAAATGTGCAACAGGTAGAAACCCATAATAAGAATTAAAATACAGATGACATCAGACCCAACTTACAGTAAAAGGAAAATCATCAATGGAGCCTAAATACCTCGAGACACTGTAATTTCACCAAAAGGCCACATTATGTCACCCACCTACCCCCCCAACCCCAAAAAGTAGAAATAGCACTACAATCTCGTACCTTTAACTTTCAATATATACTGCTGTACGGACCGAAGGCGGATG